GGTAAGACACATCCTTGGCACACAACCTTTTCCATTTTCAACCCTGCAGTGTTCCCTTGCTCTGTTATGATGACTGTCTCCTGGTCCAAGTATAGGTTTCACATAAGCACAATCACATGTTCTGGGATTCCCATTCTTCTCAGAGTCAGCCACAGTTTGTTATCTACACAGTCAAATGCCTTGGCAGAGCCAATGAAACACAGACAGACATTCCTCCAGTGCTTTCAGCCGCAATCCATCTGACATTAGCTATAACATCCCTAGAGCCACAGCCTCTTCTAAACCCAGCCTGCACTTCAGGCAGTTCTCTATTGATGTGCTGTTACAATTGTTTTTGGATAATCTTCAGCAGAATCTTGCTTGCCATGTGATATCAATGATACTGTTCAATAATTTCTGCACTCTGTCAGATCACTTTATTTGGAATGGGAACAAATATAGATCTCTTCCAGTCAGTTGGCCACATGGTTGTCCTCCACAACTTGGTGAGCACATGCAGGGCAGCGTCTGTTTGTTGAAATACGTCAATTGGTATGCCATCAATTCTTGGGGCCTTGTTTTTTGCCAATTCTTTCTGAGCAGCTTGAACTTCTTCCTTCATGGATCACCACAGGCTCTTGCTCATACATTGTTTCACTAAATTATTCTGTCTCTGCTAATTCCTTTTGATACAATGACTCTTTACTTTTTCCACCTTCTTTTAACAATTCCTGTATCATTTAATATTCTGCCCAAAGCATCCTTAAGTATTATAATTCCAGGCTTGAATTTGTTCTTCAATTCCTTCAGCTTAAGAAATGCTGATCTAATTTGGCCCTTTAGATTTTATGGCTCTAGCTCCTTGCACATTTCATTATAATTCTTTACTTTGCATTCCCACACTCCCCTTTGGAATTTTCTGTTCAACTTCTTAATATCTTGATTTCTTCCCTTTGCTTTGGCTTCTCCACAATCTAGTGCATTATATAAAGTAAACTTGTGAGTCTATGAATAATTTCCATGGTATTTATTATTTTAAAGGACATTGGCAGAGTTACAATTTCTAGAGAGTACTAATAATATTTCTAGTTATCTTCAAGTTATAATGAGATTTCTATAAACATTGTATCTATTTTATCATATAAACTTTTAAATAATCTTCAAAGTTTAATTTATTGCAATGTAATTTGTATAATTTTCTTTCAAATTATGAATCATTTGTGTAATTATGAATTATACACTTACTATAATTTTGAGGAGCAGATTTCTTTGAAAACATCAGTTTATAAAAAAGACCTTAAAAACTGGAGGAAGTTAGAAATTTTAACACTAGCAAGATCTATGATAGTTACAACTTTGCACAATTAATTCTTAAGCCAATTAAAGGTAGAGGGAAAACTGTCATTCTATTTAAATTTGAATTATAAGAACTAAAAATGTTTCTAAGATTGCTTCTAATTTTTTTTGTGTGTGCTACTTGAAATTTCCTTCCTTTTTTATTAAGAATATTGGACTTGTGGGGAGGTATTGTATACCAATGAAAGAATTTTTCTTTTACTTTTTAAAGAGAAGAAGGAACTGGAGGGAAGAGGTGGGCAGGGAGAAAAGTACAACAATGAATGAATTGAAATCCAAAATCTCTGTAAATTTTCATTAAAACGAATAATAATAATAATAATAAATTTTAAAAAGGAATATTGGGAACTCTGGTTGGTGATCTAGTGGGTAAGAAGTTGCTCTGCAAACCCAAAGGCACACACTTCAAATCTACCAGTTGCTCTGTCAGAGAAAGATGGAAAACTCTGTGCTATTTGTTGTTGTTATGTACCATTGAGTTGGAATTGACCCATAGGTAAACATCTAATGGAATTTCAGAGGCAGTAAAATCACAGAGAAGGAAATTGTTCCTCTTTTCCTGAAGAGAAGCTGGGGTATTCGAACCACTTTCCTTTGGATTGGTATCACAGATCCTTATTACTAGGCCATCAGAGTTCCTTTCTGTGCAATTTCTAGTCTTGGAAAATCTGCTAGAGGGTCAGCTATGAGTTGGTCCTAACTAGGTAGTCCATAACAACAAGTGGACATGAATAGCATTATATTTTACTTCTCAACTTTACATACCTGGTAGATCCAATTTTACACAAGGCAATGACTCACTTCTCCCAACTGGACATTTGTAGACATCTCCAGTTCTGTTCTTGGGTTGGCCAACTAGAGGAGAGCCAATAAGCACCCTGGAATGTAAATTAGTAAATGAATATTTTTAACACTAAGAAACATTTCATTATAGTAATTTTACGATTCTATGTAAATAGTTCTCATAGCCTTACTCAGATATTCATCCTCTCTTAGTAATTGAAAGTTACCTTGTAGAGGGAGAGGGACTTCTCCAAATGGTAGACTGATTAGAATTAACAAACATAAAATAGATAAACATAGAACATAAACATAAACATAAAAATAGAAATAGATCTCATAGTGGCCTTCCTAGTTTTACTTTATCAATGTTTTCATTATTTTACTATTTGAGACTAAAATAATAATTGTGTTGCTGCAATTGTGTTGGGTTACAAAACACACATGGAAATAAAAATGACTTTTCTTACAAGAAAATGATAATTTCATAAATTAGTCAAGCAGCTTAAATATATTCCCATATGATTTAATATTTTTTAATTGTTTTATGATTAAATATTTTTATGTGCTATGGTGGTGTAGTCCATAGGGAGTTACACTGCTAACCCAACAGGAATCTCTATGGCTGTTTGAATCCACCAGCACTTCTGAGAGAAAAAGATGAGTCATTTCCTCCTATGAGATTTAGTCTCCTAAAAACCCACTGGAGGGTCAGCTATGAGTTAGTTTCAACTCGCTTAATGACAACATGATTTTGCCTCATATGCATGTGAAAGGCAGAGAAAGAATATGCAAGAGCAAAGAATAATGATATATTTAAACTATGGTGTTGGTAAACAATTCTGAACATACCACAGAATGCCTGAAGACAGAACCAACTTATCTTGCTGGAAGTACAGCTTGAATATTCTCTTGGAGAAAGTATTATGAGATTTTTACCTTATACTTTAGAAATAATATCAGGACAGACCAGTCCCTGGAAAAGGACATGAGGCCTAGTAGAGGGTCAGCAAGAAAAAGAAAAAATTCAGAGAAAGATTGTCACAGTGACTATAACTAAGGCTTCCCACATGGAAACAACTGTGAGGATGGTAAGAGAGTAAACTGTATTTTGTTAAATTATACGTAATCACTATGTGTCGAAACCAACGGGATGACATCTTAAAACAACAGCTTTTAAGCACTTAGAAGATAAAGCAGGTTATGAGATCCAGGTTAACAAAACTTATTCATTTTTTTTTACCCTTAAAATAAATCACTCTGACCATCATTAGGGAGCTCTAGTGGCCTAATGGTAAGAAGCTGTGCTGCAATCCCAAAGACTACAGTTTGAATCCTCCAGCTGCTCTGCAGGAGAGGGATGGCTAATCTCCTCCCATGCAATTAACTGCCTCTGTAAACCCGCTGGAGTATAGGTTGGTTGTGACTGGACGGTACACAACAAGTATAATTAACAGAAATGACATAAATATGATTCATTTTAATTTCAAGAAGTGATTTAACAAAGTCTCCCATAATATTCTCAGTGACTGGATGAATATGGTTGAATATTAGGTATTGAGGTGGAGCCACAGTTGTAGATTCACAGCTGGTTGAACAGCTCACATTTAAATATTAGAGTTGTTAGTAATTAAGGCTTTAAAGATGTATAATATGGATTGACACAGTAACTGGGGTAATTGGGGTAGGTGTGTTGGAGATAGAGAGACTGGCTCAGGTTTGGGCAGGATTTAGAACTATTGTACATAAGGTCACTGAGTTGCAGGTGATTCAAAAACGCATAACAACAAAAAACCAGATATTGCATGTGAAATTGTTTTGGTCTGTATATTTATTGACAGCTTGAGTGAAGACATAAATACTTAAAGGCACTGATTAAGCAAATTGATATTCCTATGTGAAAATTCAGAAATATCAACATTTTGAAACAAATACAAACAAATTAGTTAAAGTTTGGTCGTGAGTTACATAAATTATTTCACTTAACTCTATATACTATACTATACTCTATACCTTGTACAAGATGTAAGAAACTTGACTAAAAGTTAATGTGAAAAAAGACATGGGGGATTAAGTTGACAGCAAATAAACACGAACCAATAGTGTATTTCAGTGCCAAGAATGCTAATGTGATCTCAGGCTATGTTGCTGAAAATAGATGCCCTGGTCAAAACAAGTGATAGCGTCTTTGTGCTCTGTACTTGTCAGAACATGGCTGGACCCTTCAATTAAGAAGAGCCCAAGATAAAAGGAATGTATTCAAGAGACTATGACATTGGAAGCAGGACTGGCATCTACTTCCTAAAGAGCATGCCTCTGGAAACTCTACGAACTTTGAGAAATTATGATAGTTATAGAAAGGCTTCAGACCTTTTGTTCATAGGGTCATTATGAGTTGTGCTTGACTCCACAGCAATCAGCAACAACATGACGTAGAAAGTTTCCAAACTGAAACTCACTGTCAATGAGCTGATTCCAACTCTTAGCAACCCCCATAAGACTTTCCAGGCTGGACATTTATAATCAAAATATTCATGAACATTTTAATATGTATCACTCTAATCTTTTTAACCTATCTTTAATATTATTCAATAACATACTATAAACTACCTCCATACACCCCCATGCAGCTATATTGTGTTGTTACGTGCCATGGAATTGAAACTAACTCACAGCTAACATTCTTGTGGGTTTTAAGAGGGAGTAAATCACATGGGACTATATTTCTCCCTTGGAGCAGCTAGTGGATTTGAACATGCCCCAACTGGCAGTGGAACTCCTTACCAGTAAACCACCAGAGTTTGGTATGGACTCCTTAAAAACATTATTTTTAACATGTTTATGGTTTTCCTCTGGATGATTTTTTTTTATTCAAGTCCTTTTTACTGGGATTTGATTTAAAGCTTACAATAGATGCTGATTTTTCATTCAATCATTCTTACACATTTTGTTTTATAAACATGAATTAAAATATCTACAATGTAATCACACTTTGCGCACTTCCTCCCTGTAATTCTCATTTCCATCAATCCATGAATGTTCCATGGACTGACAAGAACAACAACAACAAAAACAAACAAAAAACACCAAACCAAAACCAAAAATCAAGTCTGTCTTGGAGAAAGTGCAACCAGGATGTTCCCTGGAGGGAAGGATGATGTAACTCCACCTCACATATTTTGGGTATGTATTAGAAGAAGGGACAGGTCCCTGGGGAAGGACATCTTGCTCAGAAAGTTAGAGGGTCAGTAAAAGAGATGAACCCCTGGACAAGATGGACTGACACTGTGATTGTAACAATGGTCTCACATCTATCAGAGATGATGAGGATGGCACAGGACAGGGCAAGGTTCAGAGCCTTGTTCATAGGGGCGTAATGAGTCAGTTGACAGCATCTAAAAACAACAATAACAGCCTATCCCTTTCTGTCTTCAGGGATTTATCCTTGAACAAATGCTGTTCCATTAACCATATGGTTGCTTATTAAAAGGAATGAGTGACTCCTTGGTAATTTTATAGGTTTGTCTACTCTTTGGCTGAAAGTTCGACCACAGAGGTAGAGTTTTGTTCCAAGTTCGAAGGGTGGTTAAGGTCCATAGTCTTGGAGGTTCCACGAGTGTCTATTGAACCTATAGGTCTGGCAATAATTATATTTTTTAGTTTTGTTTGATATTTTTCCATCACTCTGCCCAGGATCTTCTACTGTGTTCCCTTTTAGAGCCCTCAACAACAGGAATATCTGGACACAGTTAACTCTTCTGGCTTCAGCGTCAAGGAAGTTAAGGTTCCTTTCATCCTTTAGTTCTTTGGACTAATTGTTTCTATACATCTTTGGTTTTCTTCCCTCTTCTTTGATCCAGACAAAGAGAAAAAAATAGTTGCACTTTATATAGTGGCTGTTGCTGTTGTTGTTACATGTCATTGAGTTGTCTGTGACCCTATGAACAACAGCTCTGAATCCTGCCCTATCCTAAGCCAGTCTCATTGACTCTGATACACCAACCCTCATCGCCTCAATTACTATATCAATCTGTCTCATCCAGGGTCTTCCTCTCCTGTGATGTCCCTCCACCCTTCCAAGAATGATTTCCTTCTCAAAGGACCAGTCTCTCCTAGCCATGTACCCAAATTATGTGAGACAGAGCTTCAAAATCCTAGTCTCCAAGGAGACACTTGGTTTTACTCTCTCCAAGACAGAGCTGTTGGTTTTCTTGGCAGTAGTACATGGTAAGTTCAAGACTCTTCTCCAGCACCACAACTCGAAGGCAATTCTTCTTCTGTTATCCTTAATCATTGTCCAGCTCTCTGAAGCAAAGCAAGTAATTGAGAAGACCAGGGTCTGGATCAAGTGCACCTTAGTCTTTAGATTGACATCATTGCTTCTTAGCACTCTGGAGAAATCCCTGACCACAGATTTTCCCAGTGCAATTTGTCTTTTGATTCCCTGACTGCTGGTGTTAAGAGTGTTGACTGTGGAGCTAAGCAAGTTGTAATTGCTAACAATTTCAATTTCTTCTCGATCTATCATAGTGCTGCCAATTGGCCAAGTAAGTGGTGAGAATCTTTGTATTTTTTATGTTGAGCTTCAATCTATATTGAATACTACAGTCCCTGACTTTCTGCAGCAAGTGCTTCAGGTCTTCTTCAGTTTTAGCAAGCAAGTCTGTGTCATCTGCATATTGTAGGTTAAGTCTTCCTCCAATCTTGATGCCACATTCCTCCTCATAAAGCCCTGCTTCCCAATGATCTGTTCTGCATTCAGATTGAAAACCTACAGACAGGATGCATCCCTGACATACTCCTTTCCTGATTTTGAGCCATTCAGTGTTTCCCTGTTCTGCTCTTTAGAGATCTTTGTCATTAGATATCAATGTAAGGTGCAGAATATTGTCTTTGTGGATGATGTTATGGCAATTAACTTTGATATACTCCAAGGCATTTGTTCCAAGGCCCCAGAAATTGCAACTCATTCCCCCAGGGTGAGCTGATTATGATTAAGAAGCACACACAGGATTGTCATCTGTTTCTTCTGCTATACATATGTGTATATATAGCATATTCTGATATATATTTGTGTGTGTGTATATACATGTTTGTT